AAATTATAAAATTGTTGACTGAAGATGAGAAATTATTGATTAAAGCTGTGAAATTGTTGATTGAAGTTGTTAATTTGTTAATATCTAAATTAATGTATGGGTGATGGACATAAAACCTATATACTTCCTCCGTTCTATTAATATTGCAACAATGGACTTTTTACACTATTCATTACTCTTGTTTGACCATATAATATAATTCATACTTTAAGCAAAATATAGTTGTTGGATCTTATTGGATTTGTCTCATAAAATACTTTCACAATATCAACTTTTTATAATCTTTACTCTTACACAATTATAAATATTTAGCATATAAAATGTGTTTTGGGATGCGTAATTTCATCCTTAGTTGTAACATTAATAGAACAGAGGAAGTATATATTTTGGTATTGTATTTTAGTAACTTGTAATTTTTGAAATTTAGATGATTAGTGAGGGTTTTTATATGATTTGTCATATTCATTAAACAATTTGTTTATGAAATTATTTGTCTGTTGTTTTTGGTGTATTGTGCAGTTCTCCAATTGCACTACCTGTGATTGATGTTTCTTCTATTACCATCTCCCCTAACAATCTGCCATGTGCTGTTTATGGCAGTATTACTGCATTTGACCAACTGGATTTAGACTTACCGACCTATGAACTCTGTATCCATCTTCTAGGGACACAATGAGGAAGTCATTAGATTGGGGGAAAGGACGAAGTGGGGGAGAAGTTACGTTGGAAGTTTTTTCTGTTTTCATTGGTCGGGAAAACGATCATGACTTGAATGTCTGTGGGTCAATTTCGGTAGAATACGGTCGTAAAGACTTTGACATATTCAAGAGAGATGACAGTAATCCAGATAGATTGATGGATGGTAGGAAGTTGTTAACTATCAATAGACCGTTCATACTTGAGTTTAAGGTGCAATTCCCCCAGTTTTATATTAGAGTGAATCTTAAGGATGCTGATAATAGTATTTTGATGGAGGGCTTAGTGGATATTGAGACACTATGTATTGATATTGAGATTGATCCCTTACTTTTTGATAGGGCTTTATGCTCCGTTTTTCAGGGTGATAATGGGTACTGCGCTCTGCACTACGCAGTGTTCAAGTCAGCAGCAAGGGTGGATTTGAAGATTGTTTTGTTGTGCAAGGGTGTTGTTGATGTTGCCAAAGTTCATGGAAAGGTTGTGGCTTGGTCTGACATATTTGACTACACAAGTGAGTATGAGAAAAAATATTATCGGACGATTCTTTATGACGAGCCTGATGATATCATATATTCCCCTAGTATAGTTGCTCCCAAGAATACAGAACAGAGCTCCTCGGATGAACCCCGTTCATGCTTTAATATGATTGCTGACAATAAGTTAAAACCGAGCTTCTCAGATGAATGTAATAGGCTTGTAGGAGTGCTGCTTTCGGAATCTCGTGTTTCTGTGCCTGTTGATCACGGCTATAATATCAGTGTAGACTTGTATGCAAGCTCCCTTACACAAAGCGGTCTAGCTGAACACTTCCAGAAGACTTTGTCATTTCAGTTTCATAAAGACAAACAGATGAAGATGGAAATTCCAGGAGTATATTTTGACCTTCATATAGAAATATTTTAAATTAGTTTGCTCTTAAGTTAATTTTTATTGGCTATTTCTGGGAAACTTAGATGCATATAATTAATTAATTACTATAGCTGGTGCTTAAACTTTCTGCTCATAGTATTCATTCCTGCTTAATACAATAGTTTTCTATTCCTAGTAAATTGATAATATATAGTTTTCATGATTGAATGGACAGTGATTGCTAATGAATTTTGTTTTCCTGTTACGCCTCATCGCCTTCCTGGCCTTCTGATTTGCCTAGTGTTGGGATTGCATTGCTAACTGTATATGTATAATACTGATTTGCCATGATATTTGCCTAGTGCTGGGTAAATAGGATTGATCTTTGATTCTATCTTGATGGAGAAAGGAGTGAACATCTACCAATTAATGTACTGCAATACTAAAACACAGAATGAGGTCCACATATTTCTCAAAAAAAGAAATAAAAAAGAGTTCACATCTTCCTATCCAAATAATTGGTAAGAGCAATATAAAAAGGTTTGTTTTCACCCAAATTGTTATACATTACGCAAACATTTACGAGGGCGCCCCCGTTACTCACTATGAGAAACGTTTTTGTTTCTCACAGTGGCAGTTTCGTAAATAAAATGTACCACTTTAGTCACGGTGGTACATTTTATTTACGAAATGGGTGATAAATTTGTACCACTTAAGTCACGGTGGTACATTTTATTTACGAAACTACCAAACAAAAACGTTTCTCACAGTAAGTAACAGAGATTTACTCACCATTTACCATCCAAAAAAAAAACCATAAACATTGTCTGATGAAACTAGCTGATGTCTTCATCAATCATTATAGCCCAACCCCAAGAAAATAATCGCAGAAGATTGAATCCTAGTATTCAGGGAGTTCAATTCCTTCTCTAGCTGTTTCTTTTTCTCATCAATTTCTTCCATGAACTTCTTTTTTTTCTCGTCGATATCAGCAATACTCTTCTTCAGTTTCAGTATCTTTTCAGTTTCTGTCTTGTATCTTTTATGGAGATTTGTGGCCTTCTCAACTGCAGGAGCTAACCAGTCCACTTTCAAGCCTAGACACTGAAGATCAGCTAGTTTTGATTGTAGCTCCTCAACTAGGGAATCAGTTGCAGAGGCAAAGGAGTGCCAAAGTCATCTTCCTCGGAATTAACCGTCTCATTTGATTTATCAGGACTTCTTTCGTCAGAAGCCTGTTGACCGGAAGGTCCTGAGTTGGTCTCTTGATCATCATTGTCTTTGCATTCACTTGATAAACAAGCAAATTTTATGTCAGAGTTTTAACAATTGAAAACTTCCAAAGGTACAAGCAAAATCTACTCCTTTCTATCTTACTACAGATCATTTTGAACACGTGACAAGTTATACTCAAACTTGTGTATGGACTATGGATCATCAATTAATTACATCAATTGTAAGTAACTTGTTTTCTATGCATCATAATCAAGAGTGTAACATAAAACATTGACTCATAACACTAGCGGATGCATGAACCAGGCATATAAGTTACGTTTGTAGTACAAGTACAATCTGATTAATTTTATAAATAGTCGAATCAGTCTTTTAAATAAATCAAAGTTGAACTTCTTGCATTGATATTATATAAGAGGAAAACTTGTATTGTTGTATTTGTTCTATATTAATTGCATGCGTGCAATGCTCGCTATTTATTTTAGAGCTCTTTCCAAAAATAATGTTTGGAAAAACTCCAATTCCTTAAATACAGATTTTTTTTTATTCCCTAATTACCGTCCACGTAAGCAAGTTAGAAAAATCCGATTTTTTTTTTTTTTTACCGGTTCAGGAAGAAACTGCTACTTGAAGTGGCGGTTTTCAAAACTTAAGACCGCTACTTGCTACTTCAAGTAGCGGTTTTATTCTATAATTTTTTTTCAAAAAAAAATATAAAGCTAGCAACATAAATCTTTCAACAAACAAATAATCAAAATACAAAAAACAGAGTTTACATAATTATAATACTCCAAGATTGATAGTAATACTTAAAAGAAAACAAAACAGAGCTAATTATGCATATGATTGATAAAACTCCAAATCAAACAAAAACAAAACTTACAAAAAAATAAAAAATAAATACATAAATAAAACTTAGTTGTTTAGATCCGGATTACACAATTACAAAAATTGAATATATTAACAAGTGAATTGAAAAAATAGAAACGAAATTAGGCATAAATTAACAATTGAATTGAAAAAATAAAACAAAATTAGGCATAAACTATACTAACCCTCCATTATCCCTAATTTAAACATCAACCATCTCTAGCGTCAAGCGCCGCTCCGATGGCGGAATCAGGTGGGTTGAATAATTTTTCTCTATGTTTGAGTAGTGTGAGAAGTCTGAGAATGAATGTCGTCGTTGAGGATTTTTTTTGCTTTTATTGGAAGCCAAAAGTGAAAAGGTGAGAGAGAATAAAGTTTATCGTTTTATTTTTATTTTTATTTAATACTCAAAGCCCTAAAACCGCCACTTGAAGTAGCGGTTTTCACATAAAACCGTAAAAATTAAAAAATGACTTGAACCGGTGACTAGACGGTATTGTGGGAAATTTTAAAAAAAAGTGATTGTATTTGTGAAATTGAATTTTTTGGCAGCATTATTTAGGAAAAGGATTCTTTATTTTATTGTTACAAGTCTCATAATAATTGCAATAATATTTAATACATTAGTGTTTCTCTTTCTATTGCTGGTAAGGAAATTCAATTAGTTGATTAGTTGAACATAGGAGTAAAAAATTAAGAAGCTTTTTCCATGCGGGAGTTGTTCAATCAAACATAGATAATGTAGTCAACATTTCACGAAAAAGCTCTACTTATCTAAAGGGAAGTCTGATAAAACAATTTCCTCTAATTTGTGAAAAGTGAGATCTTGTAAGAAGTGTGACTTCCCATGTTTTGCTAGCATTTTCTAAAAATATTTTGGTAACGAGTGAGTATAAATATAGAAGTTTTATGATTACATGTGTTTTTAGGTCCACTAATCACTCACACTTTGTTCATCTAGACACCCGCGAAATCCATATTAGAGTAATATAAAACATACAACTAAATTATTGATTATAGTGGGTAAATTAACAAATGGATTAATGTAGCATCCTAAGATAGTATGGATCAAATTTTTATTTTAACTAACATAATGATTGTTTTATGGACAAATTCAATAAAATTATTTAGACAGAGTAAGTTTTGCGGGGGGAAAATGGCTAGCATTAAATTACTACTGAGTATACTTTGTACATGATTGTTTTAAAAATATAGCTAAGTATGGTATAAGTTATTTCTTAACTTTCAAAAAGACAGGAGAATGAAACTAGACTTTAATAATTGAAACTTCATTTTACCACAAATTTGTGAGTCCAGTTATACTAGAGCAAAGAAATTATCAGAATTTCATTAAGATCATTGATCAAACAGCCAAAATGTACTCCAAGGGATATAAACTTCTAGTTTTCACATCAAAACCAAGCCAAAACATGTTATGTTCGCGCTTATGATTAGGAAGAGATTACTAAAATGCACTCTGAAACGGCCCTTCAAAATTAGACTGCTGCATTGAAATTACCTAAACAAGTCAGTTTTACTAATAGCTTGCTACCATCTTCTATCCAAAAAACATTCAAGGAGTACCTAAAAGTGTAATAATAGTTGCATGTACTACCATCAAAATAGTCCGCCTCCCAAGCAATCATCAAGATCTATTATCTCCGGGAAAGGAACCTTAGCAGATAAAGAGGCCATATCATCCTCTATTTCTTGCTTAACCTTAGCATTACGAGCTAAAAACTCCTTTTCCTCTTTCTCAATTTGAGGTTTTTTCTTGTCTAGAAGCATCATAGATTCTATCAATGCCTTGTTTCTTTGGAGTTTCAATGCCTTGTCAACAATTGGAGTTAACCAGTCCACTTTCAAGCCTAGACGTTGTAGGTCAAACATAGCCGACTTTATGTCATTAGCTTGAGAATCAGTTAAGCTCCTACCTGTAGTATTCTGAAGACTAATCACGAGCTTTGCCAATAACTCCAATGCACAAGCTCGTATCTTCTTGTTACGGACAGTAGCTTCAGAAATTAGGCTACCTTGTTTAACCCAAATGGTTTCTAAAGTAGGCAAAAGCTCAGCCTTGATATCAACCCCTTCAAATTTGACAGTTGAAGAGCAATTTATACATGCCTGCAAATATGTGTAGAAGAGGAAATGCAATCAACATGCTGCAATTATCAAATGTACTAAAATTTACTAGTAGTATGAGCTTACTAATGGCACTAATGTTGGAGTTGAGTGAGTGGAATTTGCATTGTTGGAGACCTTTTCCGTTGAGAAATCTTGTCCTGCATAAGAACAATTAAATCAAGTTTATATTAGGAAAGTTGGTACTCCGTATTAATCAAATTAAGAAGCTGTCATAATCTAACAAAATAATTAAAGCATAATTAATGTGATCATATATATATACCATGAAAGTTGGGTGTTGAGCTATCTAAATCTTCTGCATTCTTCTCATTATTCATCTTGAAAGTCCCTGTATTGTTTTTCTCATATTCAGGTGTCAACAGAGGGCTAGAATGTAAATCATTATTCATTGCTTCGTCAGAGAAATTTGGTTGAACATCACATTGTTCACTAGAGGAGCTTCTTTGTATCTCTTCTTCGTCCTCCTCCTCAGACTCGGCTGTTCCATTGCTGTCGTCAGCTTCAGAGGACTGATTCGGTGAATCTAACTGCATTTCATCTTTTTCATCGTCAGAAGAGCTTTCACCTGATGAATCAGTGAGCATCCCTTCTGCATGACCATCAGAAAGTGATTTTATGCTGCCGGAAGTTTCTTCATCTGCTTTTTCTTGGCTGGTAGATCCTGACTCGGTCTCTACATCATCAAATCTACATTTGCTTCTTAAACAAACAAACAAACAAAGTCATTAACCGAGTTTTAGCAATCATTCCCTCCCAAACTGTGATCTGTTATTTTCGAGTTTAACAAGAGGCTGTCATTTGTTTTGGTTGGAATCTGTAATTAAAGCAAGGGATTGAACTATTCCAGCTATAACATAAGATCTTGGATTTAGCCTATCCTAGTATTTAGGAACAAGACCATCATTCATAGGAAAACAGGACCATCATTTATACATATACTGATCATTGGAGTAAATTTCTTATTACTTGACTTACAAATAATAAGAGCCCTCTAACTTCACTGAATGTCAATAAAAACAAGAAACGAATATCTATAATCCAAGATCATGCCAAAACTATGCACAAGAACAATTGGTCAGCTGTCAAAGTTTGTTTGAAAAAACAAGCACATATAACACATACAAATGCATAACAGCTTACTTGAATCAAGTATGAAGTTGTTCAATAATCTGTCGGACATTGTATAACAGCATATGTAACAAGAAAGCATTATACATTCCCGTCAAAAAAAAAAAAAAAAAAAAAAAAAAAAAAAAAAAAAAAAAAAAAAAAAAAGAAAAAGAAAGCATTATGCATTATCATGAACATGTTTGCAGAAACACATACCCTTGGCCTTTGCAGGCAAACCATGTAGGAGGTGGCCATATCATTTTAGAAAATTCAGGATATGCAGAGGATAACAATCGAATGTCATCCCCTACTCCTAGTCTATACACTAACAAACTTCCATCAGGGTTACCACGCCCACTATACTGAGTAAAACAGTTAGCAGCAAACACAATACAATTCCCTTTACACCCAGGAAAATCTTCAGTTTTCGCAAAGAAAGAATGATCAATACCCACAAACAACACTCTCTCACATCCCAAATTCTCCAAGACATCCCATCTTTTGCATTGCTCATTAAACTTATACACTGTGAACCTTGATTTTTTCGCCCTCAATCTCTCCCGTAACACTAAATGCAGCTCCCCTGAAGTGAAGTCCACCACCAGCCGCTTCCTCCTCTCAGTAGGTCCACCACCCTAGCATATCGGTTCGGACACTAACACACCTGCCACAGTCATTGCCTCAGTATCCAACCTATAGAGCCTCCCTTTCCTGTCTATAGCACAGTACATTTTCTTAAACTCTACCACATCATCCAAGTAAATTATGTGCCAATAGTTGCAATTTACCCGCGATTGTAAACTCTTCCAAGAATACCTTGCTTCTTCATCATCATCTTCACTGTCTTGTTCAACTACTAGGCTTTCTGGTATTCTTACAGTAAGTTTTCCTAAATTACCCTTGTTGTACAACACCAGGAATTCTACAAAAGAAGGGGAAGATGATGAGCAGAGGAGAACTTTGAGAACACAGTCAGAATACTTGAAGTTATACCCTTGAGCAAGCTCAGAGACTCGGAACCGATTCATGTCAAGAGTGGATGGAAACTTGTTAACTCGTTTCGCAGTGAGGGGGTGGTGAATGCGGAGTTTACCCGGGTTCGATTCCTGAACCTTGATCATCCATGACTTGAAAGAAACAGAGGAAGGCTGAGAAGGGGTGATCAGATAAACGGAGCTTACTTGGGGTACTAAAGGGCGGTTCGAAAGGTGAAAAGGAGGAGAGTCTGATGATGAAGAAATGAGAATGGAAAGAGGGAGATTAAGGGATAGAGTGTTCACAGGTAGAGGAAGAGAACATTTCCTCCATTTCCTACAAATCCGCTTAAAGCGGAGGATTTGATCTCGGGTTTTGAGTAGTTTTGAAATTTTGTGGATGATTCATCCAGGAAGATTGGACCATGAGTCAAACCGCCGGCGGGAACTGCTCATTTTTTCCCCTTTTTTCTGAGATCACAATGTTTTTCTTAGGTGATTTTAAGTTATTTTAGAGATGAGAACCATGTGAGGTTCACGGTTGATGTATTTATGAAGGTTCTAATGGGGTCAGTGGTAATAATAATGATGGTAAATAAGTCTTCAGTTAGTCATATTAATTGTTGATAGTTGTTGATAGTATGGTTTGCAAAAATGTTTAAAATAAGGCTTGATGAAAAATAAGAAAGGATAACCTTCAATAAAATACGAAGTACACCAATTAGAAGTGGGGTAGCCTCGAAAGGACATAAGTTGAATACAATATAAATTACCTCAAACGTAATTATTAGTATTGTCAAAAACCGAATCGAATTGGTCAAACTAAACCGATTCAAACCGATCCGAATGAGAATCGGACCGATTAAAAACTGATTTTTTGAAACTGAAAAACCGATCCGAACCGCATTTTAGTAAACTCAAAACCGAACTGATCCGATTAACGTTATACCATTTAAGAACCGAACCAAATCTAAACCGAACCGAAAATGAACCGAACCGTTTCTAACCCGAAACTGTTTGAACTAGCATAAAAACCGTTTACACCGAACCGTTAACAAACTGCAAACCGTTTGCACCGAACCGTTTATAAACCGAACCGCTTATAAACTGAAATGTTTATGAACTGAATCGCTTATAAATCGAACCGTTTACAAACCACTTACAATAACTCATCAAATCATGATTATGATACTATTAACTAAATGATCAAATAAGAAGCAGATAATAATCTGATAGTAAAACAATAATACATTAATGCACTAAACTTTTATAATCTACTTCGTAATATATAAACTAGTAAGATCAGTATGGCTAAACTTAAAACATAACATGATATGTATTTATAAAATTAATGAGAATTTGCATATAATATGATGCCTCAATATGAAGTGATGAAGTATCGGCTTGATATAAAACTTGTTAACCAGCAAAAAGTTAGAAAGTAGTATAAAATTTCAAACCAAAACTGTTTAATTGCCCGAATCCAAACGACTCGATAAAAAACCGATTTTTTGAAATAAAAAACGGACCATAACCGTGATTTAGTGAACCTGAAATAAAACCGATCCAAATAATGTTAAATCGTAGAAGAACCGAACCCGTTAACGAACCGAACAAGTTATAAACCGAACTAAAATAAAACTAAACCAAAAAAGAACCGAACCGTTTCTAACCCGAAATTGTTTGAACCGGGATAAAAACCATTTACACCGAACGTTAACAAACCGCAACCCATCTGCACCGAACTGTTTCCTACCTAGACCGTTTACAACCCGAACCGAATTTAAACCGGGATAAAAACTGTTTACACCGAACCGTTAACAAATCGCAACCCGTCTGCACCGAACCGTTTACTACCCGGACCGTTTACAACCCAAACCGAATTTAAACCGTTCAAGAATAAACCGAAACCGAATCGAACTGATAAATATTTAAACCGAACTGAAACCGACCCGTAAGACATTTGAACCAATTACAAACCGACCCGATTTCAAACCGAACCGAAACCGAATTGTCAAACCGTTTTGACAGTTAATTATGTATATAAGATTACAAGGTATTTGAAAAAATAAAATAATTTAATGGATCTATTCAATGACTAATATAAACTCACAAGTAACGAATTTCAAAATCTATCATAACACTTACGACTTACAAGTAGTATTTTATTTCCTCATTATACCATTTTGTTCCCCACCATATTCAACAATTGCTTGAATTAATAAATGCTGGAAACAAAAAATAAATAATTCGATAATAAAGCAAGTATACTACCTACACAATATGAACAAGGAATGAACTGTCAATTAAGCCAATTAAGAGGAGAATTCAAGACAACCCCCCTCCTAAAGGCTTGCCCAAATCTACATTTCCATATAAAGATACCACCTTTGACACACCGGCAATTTCTTCCTCCAGTTCATCGGCCAATTTATCAAGCGCAGCTACTTCTTCAAGGAGTTTTGATTTCTTTTGTGCAACTTGGGCCTTACAATGGCCTAACTTGTCGAGAGAATCCATCAATAGCTTACTTTTGTGTAGCTCTACAGCCTTTTCTACAAAAGGAACTAACCAATCTACTTTGAATTGCATACTTCTTAGGTCAGACAACGTAGAGCTTAGGTAATCAGCTTGGGAATCAGTCAAGGTACGCACTGGATTTTCTTCGAGAATAAGTACTGCACTCGCCAGTGACTCTAATGCCCTAGAGACGATGTCACCATTACGGATGGTTATATTTTCTATCAAGTTTCCATGCTTAGACCATACCTTTTGCAATGTCGGAAGTAAATTAGACCGTATTTCAAGTCCTTCAAACTTGACTGTCGAGTTATCACTTTGGTTGCTCTGTCAAATATACAGAGGTATCAAAGTGAACAAGATTTCTAGCAAGTACTAGAAGCCAAAGGATCTGAAAAGACATAAACGTGTAAATTTTATTCAATACCTGACTCATAGACGTTATATAAGCCCTTAATACTGAGTGAGTGATCTGAGTATTGCTGCATTCCACCCTTGAAGCCTCCAGATGAAATGCTGATCAACAAGAACAGTCATCAATGCAAAGAGTAAACTTGAATAAAGTTGAAGGCTATGGTAAGACAATTGACTTTGGACAGACAGGGTAAAACATTGTGAGTAGTTACCTTGCTCAATGACATGCTTCACATCTTCTGTGGTAGATAGAATTCTCGTAGTTTCCTCTCGTGCTTCGGAGTTAGAAGAATTTCCTGTAGTTCTATCTTGTGCTGCAGAAGTAGAAGCAATCTCAGCGGTTTTCTTTCTGGATTTAGGCCCAGATAATGGAGCAGAACTCTTATGTGTATGCTTTTGTAAAGGAGCACCTTCTTGATTGCTTGTAGCAGGCAACATCTCATCACTCTCTATAGGTTCCCTTCATAATTAAACATACAAAAGGTTTAAATGGAATTAAAGATATGTCTTTACTTGGCCTAACAGACAAGGATAATATTTAACAATTCTTTCATGCCAAAGTCGATGCTCTGACAAAGAAAGTTTATTACTGTTTACACTGCAAGATTTTTCGATGCACTTGCTCAATCAAACACTTCACAGGGGTAGATTATGTTCTCTTCATATCACCGCAGGAAGTAAGACATATCTGAGATTCAAGGTGCAAAGCAGGACAGAACATGAAATTTATAACTGACATATGCTAATAAGTGAAGAAATGAAATACGGACTATTATCAAAACAACCACCCACTACCAATCTACAATTCAATTATTTAAATTCTTTAAACCTTACTTATCTATTTTTAATTCCTACACTTAGCCAACACCCTGCAGATTGGATACAATGTCAAAGATAACAAATAAATGCCAAAACAAAATGTTGGAGAAAACACATAGGAATATATATACTCCAGTCCTGGAGGTAGCAGCATCATAGTTAATGAATATAAAGGACAAGAAAATTATATTCCTTATTTTGAGTACTTTAAGACAGTAAGAGAGTAGCATCAACATTCAACATACTTGTTTTTTTTCTATGTGATCCTTCAGACAAAGTGTTGAAACCAGATAAACAATCTTTATTCCTAAATCCTTTTGCTAATTGCTAGGCTGCCAAGGTGTGTCGTTGTAATCAGACATAGTCCATTTCCGTAAGTTTTTCTTCTATTTTGAAACAAGTACTACTTTCATAGCTTAAAGATTGCCCCGAGCAAACTATAAGGGGCGGAGGGAGTATTAATAACACAAATTACCTATGAGAGGGCACAGAGACAGGTGTGTGATCCTGTGAAACCCACTGTGGAGGTAACCAAAGATTGAGTGGAAATCCAGGGTAAGATGATATTGGCTTAAATCCTTCAGCACTCATTTACTTTCTCTTTTTCCCCAGCATCCCTTCAGAGAAAGAACAAAAACACATGATCAAGTTTAAGAGTTCTAGAGTAAATTTTTTATTACAAGAGTAAATTTTAAGGCAGGACAAAATCAGTTGTTAAGTCTGCAAACTAAAATTTGAAAAGGAAATTAGGACTTTGGGAAACAAACGAAGATTTTCAGAAATACAGGGTATATTATTTCCTGGGATGGATGGATGGATGGATTGTTAAACAACCATCTCAAAGGCCACCTCAATGATAATGAACTACATGATTGAGTGATCAATTATACAACTAGTCACATAGACACAACATAAACTACTAATCAAGGGAAGAAAGAAAGGGAAGTTCAACCTTAATGATTTTAATTTACCTGCTATATACTTGTAGCATTTTATCCTGCCAGAACCAAGATGAGGGCGGCCACAGCAAATTACAAAGAGCTTGGTAAAATAAATCTGGTTGTGAATTCGTTCCGTCACTAGCAGCAAAGCAGTATATATATATCCCAAGACCTTTTGCTACTTCTTTGAACTCAGACTTGTTGATATAAGAATCTTTCAATATACTTTCATTGAAAAGGACAAAATCCCCTCCATGAGATAATATATTTTGAGTGGAGACCATAAAGCAACAATCAAAACCCAGAAACACAGCTTTACCCCCAAGAGACTTTCCCTCATCCCATTTATGTTGCATCTGATTCAACTTGTACACTTTCCTAACATCAACAAACAAATAAACTTCATTACTCGATTCGACTAGCCTAAATGAGTGCGGACCATCAAAAATCCTATGATCAACAACAGTTTCAGTCACGTGGAGCGTAATATGGTCAATGACATACAATCTTCCACCATCATCAACTGCATAAACCATTCCCTTAAACCATAATACATCCCTAAACCGCAAGACTAAGCTTTGGCAAACATAGCCCCAATCTTTATTTCCCAATCTGAAACCCATCAAAGTCCCATCTGAGTATAGCAATATAGCTGTGCAATCAGTAGCATAAACAGATTTTTGAGCAGGATTCAAGCATAACACAACTTTGCAACCTTCAATTGATATGTTTCTATCTAAATGAGGATCAATAATACGGAGAGGAGTACGTCTAATGAGATACCCTTTACCAATTTCAGAAACTCTAAATTCGAACAGATTAAGATGTTTAGGGTACTTCATTTAGATAACATCCCTGGAAAGAGGATTCATAATATGAAGTTTTCCAGGTTTTCTTTCTTCAACAGTTAAAATCCAACCTTTTGAGTTAGAATTGGGTTCATAAATAAGGGGTTGAATATGGAAAACAGTAGAAACCACAAGATTATAGCGATGATTATCAAACAATTTATCATAAAAAGGGAGAGATATAGTTTTAGGGAGAAAAGGGATTAAGAGTCTAGGGTTTTTGCGAAGGGGTAAAGAAGATCGCCATTTCTTACATACTGATCGAAATTTGCAGACGTCGGTGCGATTTTCGAGGCGCTTTCCGATCGCCAAAAGATATTCCGGCGAGAGCTCCGACCAATCTGCATCATGGCTTCGGCGATATCTCCCAGTTGGACTCTGCTCCATCATTGGTATTTCGCACGTGTGAAACCAACTCAAAACTCTCTTTCTTGGCCAAGTTACCAGATTGGTAAATAAAAAAGTTCCCTAGCGATAATTTAATAAAAAAATAATTAAAATAACTCCTGCAATAATTTGATTAATAAAAAAAACTAACTTCAAGCAACAATTTGATAAAAAAATAATCTTAAGCTACAATTAGTCAAAAAAAAATACTAAACTTTTTAACAAGTCACTTGTAAATGCTTAATTTAGTTTGTGGTGGTTTATTTTAAATATAAAAATAAATTTGTCACATAATTTTTCAACTCTTTTTTTTATGGAAATAAAAATAAATGTTTAAATATCAATTTTCACTTAAATTTCATACCCCTTATTGACAAATTTTTTTTCTTAACAAAAAAAGGGTTGGAAATGGATTGGTATCACGATATAGCAAAATAAAAAGGATGACATATTAATTCAAAATTTTAAATGGTAAAAATAAACTTAAAAAACACAAAAACAAATTAAATTAGGACTTTATGAATAATATGTCATCCCTTTAAAATTTTGAATTAATATATCATCCTTGAAACTTGACAGTAACAACATTCTTTACGGTTTAGAAGAGTTTGTCAGAAAAACAATTAAATTTTATGATGTTTCCATGCTTAGACCAAATATTTGCAATTTTAGGCTAAGTTAGGACTTATATTAGGTCCTTTGAATCTAACTATTGAACTGTCACTCGTGTTACTTCTTGCTTCCAAAAAGAATGGTAACGTTGTACTAGGTACATATCAGAGGACTGCTATGAAATAGATTATATTATGCTTAATTTATTACCTGGTTCAGAGAGGATACAACCTCTAGCAGATGGTCCGAAATTGATTCTAAAAGCATCATAGTTACAGAGTGTACGATATCTTCCCTCAATGTCTTCCGATGAGGCCCTAATCCACAAGAAAAGATAGATCAGCTCGAGTCTAAGAACGAAGAAAAGTTAAATCCGAAATAGCTATACATATCGATGAAGGCAGTACCTTCCTCAGCTAAATCCTTTAGAGCATTTAAGGTGGGAGGAGCTCCGGTAGTGTTGAAAAAACATTCATGGTAGATTGACTCCTTTTGGTTGAAAAGCTTTGGCTAATAAGCTCAGTCATTAAGATTAGATAAAAACTATGGTATAAGATAGGTTTAGATATTAATAATAAAATATCAAATGTTCAGGGCTAATAAGTTGGAATAAGTGACGAAATTTAGGTGAAAAGTATAGCAAGACACAATCCTTATATAGTTAGATATCTTACAAACACATTAATTCGTTCCAACAGTAACATCAGCAATTCAGCACTAGCAAAAGGACTGATCCCTTGTGACTATATGGCCTAACATTCCCAAAAACAGCCATTAAACAGCCAAAACAAGTGTGCTGCATACTTACTACAACAAGACAATAAACATAATTTCCTACCAACAATCAAGATTATATTCTATGAAGTAAGTCATCAGCTAGCAAAGGCCCTCTCCAAGCCATTTAACCAGATTTTTTGGCAAACTCTCAGAAACCACCTTTATATCCTTATCCAGTTCTCTTTTCATTTCTGCCATTTCTGAAAGGAACTTCTGTTCCATACTCTTCTGCGTTACTCTTGGCCTTCTGAAGCTCCACCAAAGAGGCCTGCAATGGCTTGCTTTGGTGCATCGACAAAGCATTTTCAACAAATGGAGACAACCAATCTACCTTTAGTCGCATACATTGGAGATCAGAGAGAGTTGAATCAAGATAATGAGCTTGGTCATTTGTCAAGGTCTTTCCAGAATTGGTTTGTAGAATAAGCACCATCTTTGCCAAAGAAGTCAATGCCATGGTTTTAGTGTCAGAACTACGTATCAAACTCCCTTCAACAATATCTCCATGCTTCATCCAAACTTTTTTTTAAACAGATAGGTGATCAGACTCAACATCTAATCCTTGAAACTTGACAGTAACAACTTTCTTCACAGAGGCCTGCACAAGACCATGTAAATTTAGTCACTATTTATAGCAGGTTTATGCTTTATGAACTCCCATGAAATGAAGTTCTAAAACCTGGGGGTAAAGAATAGGAAAATTTTATGCTTGATTGGAATGAACTTGAAATTATCATATATTCATATGTACTTATCTTTTTATTCTCCCTTTCACCAGTGATAATACGTTGATAACTTTATTTTTGTTGTCCAACAAGGCAACAGAAACAAAAACTTGAATATCGGCCACCATTAGTCCATGAGTGACTTTTTGTCATAACATTGTAAAAAAATGATTGAAAAAGTAAAATCTTATTATCCAGTACTAAATAGTAGAGGGCCAAAAAGAGTGTCACCTTGGCTCACAGAGAAAATTATATAAAGATGATTCTATGTAGTAAATGAAGATATAAATCACAATGAAGGAAAATGAGTATAAATTGAAGATTATTAGAACTTTTAAAGAAGTGGGAACAAAATGTACCACACTGACTTCCAAGAATCACCTACTTAAGTTCGTAAATCCTATTATTACCTGAACCAAATGTTCCATGTGATGTGCCTGAATAGTGGTATCACCTAATCTCTCTGTCTCCATAACTACAAAATACGAGATAAACCAAAAATTAGAAAATACAGCAAGTGAAATCCAATTTCAACTAGGAAAAGAAAGCTGTGAACTTAATAAAATAAAACAAACTCATAATGAGTGCACAATAAAAGAAAACAAAAACCTATACAAAATCTAACATACTTGAAAGTAACCTTTTTTTTATGCCCACAAATCCACAATGAAATTACTCCAACAGTTACCTTCTTCAGCAACATGCTCTATATCATTCACAACAGGAGAGCTGGTAGTTTGAACTCCAGCAGCATTGGTAGAAATAATATCAATGGTTTGGTCCTTGTGCTCAGATTCAGATTCCTCCACTTGACTATCTTCTTTATTGGAATCGGGTTGCTGAATCATTTTAACCTCCTCAAGCCCACTTCACAAACAAACATTACATAATTCTAAATTTGAGTAGTCTTCTTAGCATTATTCAGGCATGTAGACATAAGCAAAAAGATTTCTAATTAACATCATATAAGAAAATTCCTTGCACAAAGATGGGGTTGCCCTGTCCCAAACTGTATAGTCAATTGCGTTTTAGAGTAATTCAAAACTAGATGACGTAGAAGGAATCAAGGAATACATACATGAGTAAAAAGTCAGTCAGAACCAAGAAAACCAACCTTATCCTAGCTAAACACAAATGAGTACAGTAATACAAGCACCCAAATAAGATGATAGATGATGTAAAATGGATATGTTGGCATTTGTTCATGATTGATTTATGTGGATAAGAGCCAAGACAGTCAAACTATCCCATTTTAAGATACAATAGTAAAGTAAAAACTCCCAAATAAGGTCATAGTACGTAGATTAGTAGTATAAGGAACTTGCAATGCCAGCCTTAATTCCATCAAATAAAAAGTTGTGAGCAATTTGACAGACAATTAATGTATGCCCAAGGCGATTTTGGAGCAAAATTCCTTGAGTACTTAGTAGTTAAATTGGAGTGGTCACAAAAAATTTGAGTTGACAGAGAATGATAATTATATGTAGTAATAATATAACACTTAAAACTTTACCATTTTATAGGCAAGTTTAAGCTGCCTGAAAAGCTGAAAGTTCTTGGCATTTATCATTCAAAATTCAAATGTCAAAGCAACCATTTAGAATGAAGAAGAAAAACAATGCTCACATTTACGGTGTGTTTGGATAAAGGAAGAGGAAAGAAAAGAAGGGGAGGGAAGAATGATTTTCCTTCCAAATCTCTCCATTGTTGGAGAGATCATTTTCTTATAATTTAATCCCTCTATTTCTTTTCCAACCAATTCCCTTCCTTCCACATTAGTCATCCAATTGAAAGATATTACATTCCTCATTTTCTCTTTTCTTCCTTACCCTCCATTTCCTTCAATCCAAACAAAGTAATAAGGAGGAGCCCCAATAATCACTCAATATACCTTGTATTCTAGCAAGAAAAGAAACCACAACCAAGTTGATTTCCAAGATTGAACTAAGGGCATTATTCTGATATTTTTAGTATATCATATGGAAACAATTTTAGAAACAAGCATCCATAATTTGATCCAATTTCAGAGATGTGCTCTATAATCTAACAAGATGAGCAAATAACAGTAACAGCTCTATAATATTTTACCCATAGAAAGATAAATTAGTTAATAGCAGTATAGTATTACATATTAATAATCTATTCTAAGGATTCTACTCATAATACCTTTGAAATTGAGGTTGCAAACAAGATGATGCGTTTGGCAAAATCCAAGGTGGAGGAGACTGTAACAATATCACAGGGAAGCCCGGATAACATTCAGCAGGCATACTGTAAAAGTCTTGCCCAACCAAGGAGTAAACTGCAAGCTCATTTCCAACTTTGCCTTGTTAATTCCAACCAAATTTAGACTCAGAATACCGAGGGAACGCATCGTCAGAAAAAACGATGCAGTTTCTTAGTTGACACCCAGGGTATTCACCTGCAGCAGCAAAAAAGCAATAATATCTACAGACAAACAGCACCTGATCAGCTTTGCCAAAACTCGTCACCTCAGACCAAACAC